GCAACAAATGTAAAACTCTATCTCAGAACAAACAAACAAAACCCTTAATCTCACTGATAAAGGCCCTAGTGTTACCCTAGGAGTAGCAAAGGAAACATACCTAAAAAGACTACAAGATACCATCTTACGTCCCTAAATCTATGACAGGACTAACAGTATATAAACATGGTCCTTGCCCTTAAGAAGCTCACAGTCTAGTGGGAGACATAAATAAACAGTAATTACAACACAGTGTCACTGCTGTAAGTGACAGAAAGACTCCAGAGTGGACGGCTCATTGAATGAACATAGAGAAACAAAAATGACTTCGATCAGAAAAAGTGTTTCAGAATAGTAGACATTTGAGTTAGGTCTTACGACCCTAACTTAATGCCTAACTTAAGACCTAACCTAATGCCTTAAAAGTAGGCATTCTCTAAGTATCAAAGAGGGGAAAGGGACATTTCAGGTAGGTGCAAAGGCCCTGGACATTCAGGAATGAAGCAAGTGTAGGCAGAACCAGCACACATGAGGTGGGGGTGGATGGTGAACAAGAGCCTGGAGAGGTCAGAACTGGGCCAGATTGTGAACAGCTGCCCATGTCATGCTAAAAGGTTTAAACTTTCCAACTACAAGTATCAAGGAGTCATAAAAAGGGAAATAACATTAGAGGGTTGTCATGGCCCAGACAAGAGATGTCAAACCACTGTGTGAGGTAAGGTAAGGTAGACACAGTGAGAACACGAATGAGGTTCTGTATTCTGGAGATAATGGGAGAGCATCAGGGGATCAAGATGCAAAACAGATGGTAAGAAACCAGACCTACAACAGCTGAACTACAGATTCTTTAATTCATTTAACAGTGAACAAATATCTATGAAGTCCCCATTATACTGAGATATAACAGTGAATTAGAGAGAAAAGGTCTCTGCCCTCAATGAGATTATATTCTAGTGGCAGACATCAATGAATAAGAGACCAACAAAACAACTACAGACTGTGATGGCAGCCAAAAAGGAGATAACAGGGGAATACAATTAAAACAAAAAAGACAGTGTGTGCTAAATATATAAAGGTGTCTGTGTGGCCTGAGGAGATGTCCTTTCATTTCAGCTGATGTATGAAGGATGTGAGTGAAAAATCATACCTGAAAGGGTCAATGAAGATAAAATTTTTAAGAGGCGTTTAAGATGTCAAGAAACTAAGCACTACAGATACAGTCACACTTGAGAACAGTGCCAAGATCATTATAATCAGATAATCAGAAATGACAACCCACACCTGTAGAGCCTACTGCTGAAGAAATCTAAGATGGCTTAACTATATTAGACATGTTATCTCTCAAAGATCAAAATGTTTGAAATATTCTGCCTTAGTTTGAGTGATGTTTATGTGTATGAAATACAAGAAAATGCAAGAGGAGAGAAAATTTTCATCACTTCAAGTGTATAATCTAGAAAACAGAAATTAGGACATTAAAAATCTGTTTTACACGCCTTAGAAAGTTCTTGCTGCAATATCATGAACACATGCTATACAATGTGCAATTATTTTCACTGTTCATTCATTGATAACTAATGTTACTGTATTAGGAATTTATTCTGTATAGGAATTGTCTGTCACTAGGCTGTGAAAATAATTTTATTTTTAGCCTATGCCGAATCAGCATAGTAATATTAGCATTGACTGTTATAACTAGCTTACCAATTTAAAAAAGTTAAATCTGTGTTTTTAAAAGGCCTAGAGCATCCTCAGTTTTGATTAATTTATCTACAACACTGAACTGCTTTCCTGTAAAATCCATATCAAATTTAAGACATAAAATAGTATACAATAATTTTATAGCAAATTTTACCGGGCATGTACTTATTTATCTGTATACACTTTGCCTACACAGTAAGACTAATAACAAAAATGAGGGATAGCTTGTTGAATAAATAGAACAAAAGAGTCACACAAATTGTGTTTTCTGCATAAAATTTTAGGATAGAAGGAAGCTCAACATGTCTAATTGCCCCCTCCCCCATTTTTATGTTTTTAGAGACAGGGTCTCACTCTATTGCCAAGGCTAGAGCAGAGTGGCAAAAATCATAGCTCACTGTAGCCTTAAACTCCTGGGCTCAAAAGATCTTCCTGTCTCAGTCTCCCAAGCAGCTAGGATTCCAGGATTCTAGGATCTTGCTATGCTGCTCAGGCTGGTAAACTCCTGGCCTCGGCCTTTCAATGTGCTGGGATTAGAGAAGTAAGCCACTGAGCCCAGGCCTTCCTCCCCATTTTTAAAGATGAGTAAACAGAAGTCTTGTAAATGCTATTTGATTTTAAGAAGTTACATGAATAATGAATGGTATGATTCATCAATAAAAGGGCTTTTACAAAAGATCAGTGTAATATAAATATTTCAAATTATGAAATAAATGAAAAAATGAGTTATGTGCTCTAAAGAAAGCTTTCCAAAAATTATTTTAAACTAGTGTACTTCTATGATACATCAAGTTTCTTCTACTATAATATCATTATACCCCTACTATGAAACAATGTATTACTGGAGAATCTGACAAGCATACTGCATACTTTCAACATGGAGGCAAGGATGATTAGAGCATGCTAGGGATGTATCAGAGAAAAATCAACTGACTTTCCAGTCTTAAAACTATTTTATCTCAGTCTTTGACACTTCTATGATCCTCTTATCTTTTCCCGCTTCACATTTCCCTCTTATTATTTTTTTTATAGAGGGGGTCTTGCCTTGTTGGCCAGGCTAGTATTGAACTCCTGGCTTCAAGCAATCCTCCTGCCTTGGGCTCTCAGAGTGCTGTAATTAGCCGGTGTGGTGGCACATGAGCCACCGTGCCGGGTCTCCCTCTTATTTCATACCTGAACTTAACATGGTATCCCCTCAATCCCATTTGTGTGCATATGAAGGACCATCATCCCCTAACACCAACACATGCATGCCCACACATTCTTTCATGAACCTCTTCTCCCCAAAGCCAAATATTAGTCTCACTGACTCACATATTCTCTCCAAGACTGCTCAGAAACCTATATCAAAGTATCTACTTCCATTTTCTTCAGAACTCTCTTTACTTTCATCTAACAGTGCATTTCATGTGACACTCTTAGAGGAAAACAGCAATAACTTCTATGTAGTGGAACACCTTTGCTGGACTGAAGGGTGTGATAAGGATGGAAATGCTGTTAGCAGCAGCACTGAGAACTGCCTCAGTTTACTAATTTGAAAGAGTCACAGGATTCTTACAAGGATTAAATGGAGTAAGGGAGAGAAAACATTTTATAAAATACCTGTATGAATATAACATAGGAAAGTAGCAGGGGTTAAAGTTTTAGGTAATGATAAAAAATTTTATTTAACAATAACAAAACTAGAGACTAATGATAAAAAAAATTACCTGAACCACAATAGATTAAAGGATGCTACCATTAATATAATTTCATTTTCTCCAATAAAAAAACTTTACCTTTGAAATTGCCCCCTCTGCACAGCACAGGCTCACCAGCTACCCCTGCAGTATGGCTCTGGAATATGGTAGTGTCACTGGGTGCAGGGCAGGGTGGCTCTTCTTTCATACAATCTGATGCACTCCATGGATTGCTTAGACAGTCCCTCCAGCTATACTTAACTTAGAAGGATATCAAATTGCTTAGGAGACACAGTAATGTGTATTTACTTTCAAGGATATCACATTGCTTAAGAGACAAAGTAACAGCAGGCCTACCCAAATCTTTATCATTCAAAGAATAACATTAGTTTAAGAAGAAAATCATCACATCACGAAAGAGATCAGAATGTAAACAAATTTGGTTTCTAAATAAACAGATGATGAACCAGGCACTGTGCTTTATAAAGTAGCTAAGTTCAGTAAATGCATTTAACACTTTACAGAACATGTATAACATTGGAAAACAGATGATAGATTTTATATTTTAATAAATTGCCTATTTGGCATGTAAGACATTTAATATAATTAAAGTACTTTTGGAATATCAAATCAGACACATTATCAGCAACTGAGCTAAAATGTTCTGACACTACAATTCCACGCCAATTTATATGCATTCATGCACACACATGCAGACACAGATATGAGGTAGTTTGAAAAATTGTTGATAACCCAATTTTTAATTTTGTTGAATCACAGAGTATCGTTTCAAAAATTCCACTTGGTATACACTAACTCATAGGTGTAAAGAGTGATTCTTAAAATATATTAAGTATTTTGAATCTTCAGAAAAAAATCAAATTAACAAATAGCATTATTGTGAAAAAAGTATTTTTGAGAAAAGGTTAAGATCATACATACATACATAAAGAAAGCCTTATACACTGCAGAGGAAAAAGAAACTTATTTGGACTCTGTAAGACTTCATTCCTGAAACCTTGATGTTGGATAGGTAATTTATGTGCTTTCTTCGTCTAGGAAATCACTCAAGATGGCGGAAGTGATGACAGGAGCATCAAAGGAAGAAGAGTGTCTCAACAAGGATGAAAGTTGATTACCGGCAGGCAGCAGCGGAGAGACAGAATATTAGCAAACCCACCCCAATCCAGACATGGAGATGTAGAGGAGAGACCAGCTTCCCACAGGAGGGAAGCAAGAGAAAACACTACCCTTAGGGGAACAAGTGTTGTGAGAAGAGCCTGAGGGAACTCTTTTCAAAATGGATTGTAGTTTCCAGAAAAGACTGGGAATGGTTGAAATGGAGATCAATAGAGTAGAGGGAGATGTGAAAACAGGGTGGAACTAATGCCTATAAAGACCTCACCTTGGGGTGGTGAGGGTGAGAGATGTGGCTGGACCTACAAACAGTTGTGAGGGCCCAACCTCGGTCAACCTGCCCAGTTTCTGTAGGCACTGCAACACAGCAGTTTTACTCCACCTGTCTGTCAGCTTTTTATTTAGATAAACTTTAATTATGTTTGAATCTCTTTTTGAAAGTGTGTTTGCGTATCTGGCAAAGCAAAATTTTAATCAAGAGCAAAAATAAATTTATTTTTTTTATATCAGATGAGTAACATGCTGACATAAGGTTTAGAAAAAGGAACATTTCATACACAAGTATGAATATCCAATCATCACGCTTAGGAACTGTGAAAGGATCAAGAGCAAACATTTTTTAAATGCTCATTGCAGGGTAAGGTGGTAAAAATATGGATATTGCTCTATTTAAGCTTACAAATAGTTTCTAAGAATGCTAGTATTAGAAGGACTTTAAGAGCTCATTTAATTTTCTCTATTAACCTCACAAGGCTGTATATGTACACCCTAAAAATAATGCTCTGGGGAAGACAATCCATCTTAACAAGCTGGGAAAGGTAATGACAGCCTTAAAAAGTAATCTTTTCTACTATCTGAGAAAACTTAGTTGAGGACGTGCCTTTGGATGTTCACTCTGAAGCTTTTAATCAGATCCCACTTCCTCTGGTTCTGTTCAAATAAAATAGCTAGTCCATTACACACACACACACACACACACACACACACACACACACACACACTCTGATTTATTCTTAAAATAACATAGAATTCACCTTTTTCCACTGTTGACAACTTTCCTCCTTGATCCAATTTTGTAAAATTAAAAAGAAAAAGGCAAATTGCCCTATCATAAAAAGACAGACTATAAGCAGTACCCTGGCTAGAGCAGAGGAAGGCTGCTTAGAGCTCTTATGCATATATATATACAATGAATCTACTTAACGGTGATTTATTGAGGATGATCTGCCTGAGACACCCATCATCTACTTACTACCAGGGCTAAGTACATCTTAATGGGCAAATAGTTTAGTTTTTCCTTTTTTGCTTATATATCCACCATGTGTTTTTCCCCAAACTCTGGGTATGATAAGTTTTAGCTTAGTGCTTCTGATAAACCCTATATGTTAGTTATAAAAGAAATGATACTGTGATAGTTAATTTTAGGTGTCGACTTGACTGAATAAAAGAATACCTAGATTTTTATTTTAGGTATGTATTTAGGTGAGTGTGTTTCCAGAGGATACTGGTTGTGTGAGTTTGAGTGGACTAACTAGTGCCCTCAGTTTAAGTAGGCACCATCCATTTGGCTGGGGCCCTGTGTAGAATAAAAACAGAGGAAAGAAAATTGGCCTCTCTCTCTCTCCTGGTTCACGGACACACTTTTCTTCTCCTACCCTTGGTCTTTGGACTTGGACTGAGCTGTGCTGCTGGAATACCATGGTTTCCAGCTTGCAGACAATCCGTCATGGGACTTCTCAGCCTCCATAATCACAGAAGCCAATTCCCCTAATAAATCCCTTCTCATGTATCTTGAACTCCTGGCCTCAAGTGATCCTCCTGTCTGAGCCTCCCAAGTAGCTGGGATTACAGGCATGAGCCTACACCTGCCCCTTTTTGTACACCTGTATATCTATAAAGCCCATTATCTCTCTGGACAACCTGACTAATATAGATATCCATTACCTATCATGTACTGACCTCTCACTTTCTGCCAGATGCTGTGTTATTTTATATAAGATCTCACTGTGTCAACATGGTGAAACCCTGCCTCTACTAAAAAAATACAAAAATTAGCTGGGCATGGTGGTGTGCGCCTGTAGTCCCAGCTACTCAGGAGGCTGAGGCAGGAGAATTGTTTGAACTCAGGAGGCGGAGGTTGTGGTAAGCCAAGATCGCGCCATTGCACTCCAGCCTGGGTAACAGGAGTGAAGCTCCGTCTCAATTAAAAAAAAAAAAAAAAGATCTTACTGAATTTTCACAACCATCTATGTAACACACAGTGACTCGCCTTTTAAATAAACAACAAATAAAACAGTTAAATGATCAGATGTGTGTGTCATCTCTTTTCTGAGTCTTTATCCCTTAGTGGAAGAGGTCCTAATATGTTTCAGAATGAACAGAAGAGAAGAGCAGCAGAAAGGGGGTGGAAAGCAAGTCACATGGGAACAAACTGAACCAGTTCAGTAGCATTTATTTCCATTTGCAAGGAATCTGTATGAAAATCTGTTTTTTAAAAGGTTCACACTGTTGATATTTTAATAGAGTAGATTTAATTTTACCTAAGTTGCTTCTTTCCTAAATGACTTTCAGCACTCATCCAAAGGATGGTAATAAATCTTTTAAAACAATAGAGTGGACAATGTCAAAAATTTAGGCTTATCTTCCAATAAATATCAAATACACGCCTATCAAACTATGCCAATAAATATCAAAGCAGTAGTTCTTACCTCCTTTGCACTCTTAATTTTGGTCAGAAATGTATGGAGCTCCATTGTTTCTGCAAACAGGGCGCGGCATACTGCCTGATAATGATTTGGTGCGTCTGATTCAGTAGGGAGATGAGCAGCACACAACTATAGAAGGGGAAAATAAAATAGTGGTGCTTGGTTACTATTTAGGGTTTTTTTTTACTTAAAAACAGATACACCCCCATATCTGTATTTTCATATCAGACAGTCAGGCAATCCCCATCATCCAAGGCTTAATGTACCACAAGACCAACAGTAAGGTCCACACGATTATATGGGAAAAGTGGTCCACTAAGTAACAGACACCCAACAGCACGGATGAGCTTACTAGAATTAGCTTCTATTTGAAAATGACAGAACATATGTAAAAATTTTGGTTGGGAACAGAAAGGGAACCACCATTTACTGTGTACTGATGATGGCTCCAGTATTGTAACAGCTACCATTTATTAAGCAATTATCATGCCAGCTATAATATTTGACATGTCATATATACAACATAATACCATTTACTCTTCAATGTAATGCTGAATTATCTTCATTTTATGGCAAAAGAAACTGAGGCTAAGAGGAGTCAAGTGACTTGTCTGTCCACAGTCACATGGTTACCACAAGGGGGAAGGAGATATCAAACACAGTCCTACGGTGTTCTGAAGCCCAAGCTCATTCCAATACATGTTGAATTTTGTAACGTAGTAGAAAAAAAAAAAAAAAGAATGTCAGGAAAACATGTGGACCTCAGGGAAGCAGCCTCATCAGTAGATGGGGAATGGAGGAAAGAGGGCAGAGGGTCATTTAAGGCCATGGGTGCGCCAATAGCCCTAATGTCTTTTACCATACATGGTCCATAATCCCCACATGACTACTTGTGGGTAAAAGCTGCAACTTATCATGAAAGCAATTTAGAAAAATCAAACACCATTAATTTATCAGATTGGAAAGACATCCTATTAAGAGTCCCATACACAGGAATAATTTTATCTTTCTATAAAACAATTTGCATCTATGTACAATCATTACGTTTTAAAGTACTTCATTTGCACTAACAAGCTGTAAGTTCTCTTAATTTCTTACTGTAGTCAGTAAACTGGACACTCATTAATAACTTTAAAAAACACTATATTTTAATAATTTATATCAATTAAATAATAAATGAAGTTTGTGGTCTGTAATATCCTTAATAATGTAGCTTTTTGTTTTCATGTATAGTAAGCATCTTACACAATCTAATAGATCACTATCTTTTGTAAAATACATTCTCAAGAAAATATCACGAGTGTAAACAGGAAACCTTCACAGTACCAAAAAAAGCTAAAAGCTGATTTATCCAGAAGCATTAAAAGCAGAAATCTCACAAGTTTATTACTCACAGAGCCACCAGTAAACATAGAGTATATTTTTTGCTCAATTATTTTTGTATTTAGAAAACATCTTGCAATACAGAATTATCATTCAAGGTAATGAAAGACAACTAAGGCTTTACCTTATGTAACTTACCCAAATCTTATATTCCAATTACACAATGAAATCACATAAAGCAATGGGTTTCAAAGTTTTCAACTGCTATTCACAGTAAGAAATAAATTTAAATATATTTATATATATTGCACACGGACACATGCATATGGACATGTTATACATACAAAAGCTTCACAAAACAAAACTTGCACATTCAATCAATTTGACAACACATTCACTGGTTGTAAACTGAAACTTTAAAAACATTGGTGTAAAGGTAATAACTAGGTCTAAAAACTGTTTTTTAAAATGCATATGACAATCTTACACACAGAAAACCTAAAGGAACACTACTAGAGTTAATAAGCAATTTCAGCAGTTGTGGAATACATAATTAACAAAATCTTTTGTATTTCTATACATGACCAAAGAACAATTGGAAAATGAGGTCAAGAAAATCATTAAAATTGCATCAAAAATGCTAAGAGATGAATTTAACCAAGGAGTTACAAGACTTATACACTAAAGAGCACAAAATATTTTAAAAGAAATTAAAGAAGACCTAAATAAGCAGAAAGACCTCTTGTATTCATACACTGGAAGACAACATGGTTAGGACAACAACATTACCCAAGGTGATCAACAGACTGAATGCAATCCCTAACAAAATCCCAACAGCCTTTGTTTAAGAAATGAAAAGGCAGATCCTAAAATTCATATGGAATTGCAAGGAGCCCCTTGCAACAACCCAATTTAGAGATTAGGAAACTGAGATTTAGACCAGCTAAGTAATTTGCCCAAGGTCACACAGCTAGTCAATGGACGAAATGAAACCGAAACCAGGTAGTCTGACTCTGGAGCCCAAGTTCTTTTCCATCCTACCCTAAAATAAATGTAATTACCTTTATATTAAAGGGAATAATGTTCTTAAAGTACTTAAAGCATAGAGCATGGTATACAGTACACATGCAACAAAGTCATTTTTATAGTTACAAAAAAAGGGACACTAGGGTTAGGGGGACAAAATTAGGTTATATGACCTTGGACAAGTTATTTAACAATGCTGGGTTTCCATTTATCTCTAAAAAGAGAGGACTGGTCTATAACCTCTTATATAAATCTGTCTCTCCTCTTTGCTCCATGTATAAACTTCTAAATTAAACTGAAATGCTGAAGTTTTTGAGGAATCAGTCTTAGATCTTTTGATATCCTCTGCTTACTGTAGCTGACCTTGTCTAGTTTAATGGCTTTAAATGCCACCTGTAGGCTGATAACTCCTGAACTCTTATTCTAGGCCAGCCCTTTCCTTTATGTTAAAAACTTACAGCTGTGTACTTAGCATTTCCACTCAGATGCCACAAAGCTCAAACAACTCTGAGAGTCATCCTCCCTGCCCTCCCTTACTATGGGGTCTTGCTATGTTGCCCAAGCTAGTCTTGAACTCTTGGGCTCCGGCAATACTCCTGCATCAGGGTCCTGAGTAGCTGGGATTACAGGTGTGCACCACCACACCCAGCTGAGAGTCATCCTTGATTATTCTTTATTCCCATGCCACCCATGTCAAATCCATCAGTAAGTCTTGATGTTTCTACCTTCAAAATATACCACCTGACAGCTCTCTACTTTTCTCCATCTCCTCCACCATCATCATGGTCCCAGCCACTATTTTTTTTCTTTTTAGATGGAATTTCACTCTCTTTGCCCAGGCTGGAGTGCAATGGTGCAGTCTTGGCTCACTGCAACCTCAGCCTCCTGGGTTCAAGAGATTCTCCTGCCTCAGCCTCCCAAGTAGCTAGGATTACAGGCATGTGCCACCACACCCAGCTAATTTTGTACTTTTAGTAGAGACAGGGTTGCTCCATGCTGGTAAGGCTGGTCTTGAACTCCCAACCTCAGCTGATCCACCCACCTCAGCCTCCCAAAGTGCTGGCATTACAGGCGTGAGCCACTGTGCCTGGCTTCATATTCTTTCATTAGAGTACTCCTAACTTCCTCTCTCACTCATCTACACAGTTCTTCTCCACCTGACAGGCAAAATCTTTTATAAATGTAATTTGAGTTATGATCATCTCCTGCTTAAAAACATCCAATAATTCATTCAAACAATACTCATCAAGTGCCAATATGTACCAGGCACTGTAGTAAAAAGATGACACAGTATTTGATATGGTTTGGCTGTGTTTCCATCCAAATCTCATCTTGAATTCCCACATGCTCTGGGAGGAACCTGTAGGAGGTAATTGAATCACGGGGGCAGGTCTTTCCCGTGTTGTTCTCATGATAGTAAAAAAGTCTCATGAGATCTGATGGTTTTATAAGGGGGAGTTTCCCAGTACAAGCTCTTTTTTGGCCTGCTGCCATCCACATAAGACATGACTTGCTCCTCCTTGATTTCTGCCACGATTGGGAGGCCTCCCTAGCTGCGTGGAACTGTGAGTCCATTAAACCAGTTTTTCTTACCAGTTTCAGGTATGTCTTTATCAGCAGTGTGAAAAAGGACTAACATAGAATTGAACAAGTAACATCCCTTTCCTCTCAAAACTAGTAATGTGTATATCAGATCCTTACACACATGCACACACACACACACACACATATTGGGAATAACAGTTACTATTAAGAAAAACAGGTCGGGGTGGTGGCTCACATCTGTAATCCCAGCACTTTGGGAACTCACCTGAGTGGGTGCATCACATGAGGTCAGGAGTTCAAGACCAGCTTGATCAACATGATGAAATCCCATTTCTACCAAAAATACAAAAATTGGCTGGGCGTGGTGACCCACGCCTGTAATTCCAGCTACTTGGGAGGCTGAGGCAGGAGAATTACTTGAACCCAGGAAGTGGAGGCTGCAGTGAGCCGAGATCGTGCCACTGCACTCCAGCCTGGGCAAGAGGAAGGGAGGAAAAGAAAGAAGCAGAAGAAGCAGAAGTAGAAGAAACAGCAGCAGAAGAAGCAGAAGCAGCAGCAGCAGCAAAAGAAGAGGAAGAAGAGGAAGAGGAAGAAAAAGGAGAGGAGGAGGAAGAGAAGAGGAGGAGGAAGAGAAGAGGAGGAGGAAGAGGAAGAAGGGAAAGAAGAGAAAAAAGAGGAAGAAGAGGACGAGGAAGAGGAGGAAGAGGAAGAAGAAGAGGAAGAGGAAGAAGAAAGACGAAGAAAGGAGGAAGAAGGAGGAAGGAAGAAGAGACGACGGGGAGGAGAATAACAGCTAAATAGCTGAGCGAGGTGGCTCACACCTGTAATCCCAGCACTTTGGGAGGCTGAAGTGGGTGGATCACCCGAGGTCAGGAGTTCAAGACCAGTCTGGCCAACATGATGAAACCCCGTCTCTACTAAAAATACAAAAATTAGCTGGGCATGGTGGTGGGCACTTGGAATCCCAGCTACTTGGGAGGCTGAGGCAGAAGAATGGCTTGAACCTGGGAGGCGGGGGTTGCAGTGAACAGAAATCATACCATTGTACTCCAACCTGGGTGACAAGAGTGAAACTCCATCTCAAAAAAAAAAAAAAAAGGAAAAATAAAAGAAAGCAAGTGAGAGGTAGAAAATGAGGACAGTGGTGGGGAGGGTCAATAATCTGGAAGGAGTGGTCTGCAGGTGGCACCAGAGCAGAGAGCTCAATGAAGATTGTAGTGAGTCGTTCACAGACT